CCTCCCGCTTCATCGCGCCCCGTCGGCCGCCGGCCGGGTAAGGGACAAGATGTGCGAGCCGGAAGCACTCCGGCGCTGCGCCCGCCGGGACTGGTAGTTCCCCGGCCCTCGGGGTCCGGGCGGCAGCCTCGCGTGCGGCGCTTCAGACACTACGACTTCCGGCGGCCCTGTCGCCGCTGGGCAGGATTGGCGGCTTCAGAATCGTTCTATGTTGCAGATCGGAGTCTGACTGGCTGTATGCATCCGTCGCTCACAGTTAGACTCAATGGCGTCTGCAAAAGGGAGGAGCTTCGGGTCTCGGTCTGAGAGACCGCCTCCCAAAGAAATTCCACGCCCTGATTGGTGGAAACAACCGGGTGGAGAGTGGAGCGTATCAGCGGCGAGGAAAGGCGGGCTCTTCCGCTGATATTGCTCAATCAGAGGGGTGGACAGTTTCTATAAAGGCTTGAACCTCACTCCATCCGTTCTTTCGGGGTCGGAGAATGAGGTGGAACTCGCTGTTTGTGTGGGCGCCGTTTTCCCCGTCCAGGGGAGGAACTGGTCCCCGACGGCGTTTCGAGGTAAGTCCGAGCCCTCAGGCCGGCCTAGCTCTCGGGGCCAGCCTCAGCTTGAACCCACCCTGGTCGTTGAAACGTTTCTTCCGGATCTCCGGACCTACAACCCCCTGCAGGTGAGACTGGGCCGGGCCTGGCTTCCCCAATGCGATGCAGCTCCGAGCCTGTGATGAGTAACTTTAATTTCTGACACCTCGTATGAAAACTGCACGTGCAGTTTGATTATTCCGCAAGACTGAGGCTTTTGGTGCGTCCTTTGGACGGGGAGGGGCTGGGAGTGAAAACAGGTCTTGCCCGAAATAGGGGAGGGGGGCTTCTGTCTACATTTTGGCGCTGTCTGACATTTAGGGACGTCATGAGCCTGCTGCAGACCTTGAACGTAAGTCAACGTCAATCAAGAGGCCCAGCGGACAGGAGGGCCCAGTGGTAAGGCGGGCGCGTGGCTGTACCAGAACTTCTTAGGAATAAAGCAAAGGTAATGAGTTAAGTCTCTCTGCTCCCAGCGTCATTATTTTTCGTATGTCTTTGGCACCACAGAGAACCGGCTTGTCCGCGGGCAATCTTGGGAATGGGTAAAGTCATGAAAATGGAAGTTCGTTGCCAGTACCCCATCTCCTGGGACTGCCTTATCGGTTTTTGCCTGTAAGGTCAAAGTTATTTTTTATGCTTTTGTCCTAGGGTCGGGTCATGCGCTCTCATTCAGCAACAGGCCATTGAGTGCCCCTTTGTTTGACATTGGGTCTTGTGGAGGGAGCTGACATGAACCAAGCAGGTTCCATGTGCTCCCTTCAAAACACGGTTGTGGGGGAGTGGCATCCATCTGGGCCTTGCTGAGTCCCCTAAACTCAGCTCTAGAAGTCAGTTTCTTTAAACGGATGAGACAGACACTCCAGAAAACACAACTTTATTTACCAAGACTGAAAACAAAGGCTCGCTATCAAGACCTACTTGATGACTTTAGTGCAGGGTAGAGCGTGCTTGTCAATTGCAGATGTCAGCTGTGGACAGGCAGGGCCTGGTGCCATGGCCTGCCTGATAGGTGCCCTTGTCAGCAGGCTAGGACTAGCGGTCCTAGTTTCCTGACATTTCTGTTATTTGTCAGACCTTGGTGTCCTCCCAGGGTCACATAAGAGGAAGACCCTGTTGATTAGTGAATCAGCGCTTCCTAGGTGGGCTGGGAGCAGGTGGCCCAGGTCCTTGGAACACATAAATGCACGACGTAAAGCCCTCTGTCCCAGGCATGGATAGGAGTCCTGCCTTTCCCTGCCTGAACAGTGTATGCAGGTGAAGACATGGCTTTTCTAAGGGGTTAGGCACTGTACACAGGGTGCGGGGCCATGGCCCAGCCTCGGAGCTGGGCATACCTGAGAGGGGGCAGCAGAGTGCCGTGGCATGGTCCAAACACTTGCATCGTGTCCCCTCTGGGTAAGGCCTCGGCACAGCCAGTGAAAGGGGCTGCAGACCCCCTGGCTCTCTGAAGCCCACTTGTTGGGACCAAGGATCAAGACTGCCGGTGGGTGATGAAATCAGAAGGGCCTGAAGACCCTCTGTCCAGCCTTCTGCTTCCTCTGGAGAGGGACTGAGCTCAGCCAGGTTCAGAATCGGCAGCAGGAGGCCCCTCGACCCTCTCTCTTAACATAGTCGTGCAGACGGAAGCGGGGCTCACTGGGAGCCTTCATGGAGCGCTGCTTCAACTCCCTGCAGAGCAGGGGTGACAATGAAGCCAGGTGGCCTCCTGTACCCAAACAGTGGGGCTCAGGCCGTGGGTCTGGGGGAGTCTCTGATGACCACCAGGACTTACTTTGCTATGGCCGTGAAGGCCAAGTCCACGTTGAGGCCCGTCTTGGCACTGGTCTCCATGAAGGGTAGTCCGTACTCCTGCAGACAGCTGCTGCCAGCTGGGTGGTGGCCTGGCAGGGACATCCCACACTTCCCAACCTCAGGGACACCCTCCCCAGCACCCACCCTGCCCTGACTCACCTTGGCCAGCTTCTCCCCATCTTCCCTCTTCACCACACGCTCCTGGGCAGAGTCCACCTGGCCCAGGCACAGGGGTCGTGGTGACAGCTGGCCCATGGCTCACTCCCGCCCCTGTCACCTGCCCTGCCCTGTGGGGCTAGGGTGGAGAGGACAGGACAGGCCACCCACCTTATTCCCCAGCAGCATCAGGACCACGTCATGCTGGGCATACTCCTGGATCTCAGCCAGCCAGGCCTGTGGGAGAAGAGCTGAGACCAGGCCAGAGGCTGGGGCTCCCAAACCTCAGCCCCTCCAGGCCATTCCCTACCCCTTGTGCCAGGCAGAGGTGCCTGCCTTACAGGTACCTCACCAAAGGAATGAGCTGATGGAACTGGCATGTCACCCAGGTCCCCTTTAGCTCATACTCTACCTGAGCCATCTTGAGCCCAGGTGGCTCCCTGCTATCAGCAGGGTCTTCTGAACCCCTGGGGACCCTGATGCCATCCCTGCCTTAAGAGGTTTGGGGTGGGGCCAGGCCCCATCATGGCCCACCCCCCACCCAGAAGGAAGCCACTGACCTGGATGTTGTCAAAGGAGGCCTTGTTGGTGACATCATAGAGCAGCAGCAGTGCTGGAGGCAGAGGGGCAGTGAGGACCCCCCCAGGGCTCAGCGGCTCCCTGTCACCCACACCCTCATGTGTAGACACCCCTAGTCACCAGATGTGCTGACATCACAACCCTCTCACTTGCTGCCCCACTGACTCCCTGGGGGCTGGACCCTGGGTCCTGGGCTCACCATGAGCGTCCCGGTAGTAGGCATGTGTAACACTGCGGAACCGCTCCTGGCCAGCTGTGTCCCAGATCTGCAGTGACAGGCATTGGTCAGGCTGCCCAGCCCTTTCTTGGTGTCCCCTGCCCCCGGTTCACCCTCCCCCAGTCACCTCACCTGCAGCTTCACCTTCATGCCATCCACATCCAGAACTTTGTTCTGAAACAAGCAGCCAGCAATCACCCTCAGACCCAGGGAATCCCAAGGATGGGGTGGAGTGAGGTGGAGGAGGGAGCAGTGCTGAGCCAGCACTGAGCTCATGTCACCTGGTAGGGAGTTGGAGGGTCCCCTGTCCTGTCCCTGTCCAAGCCTCTGAAGTCATCCTTGAGCCGTTGCCCTCCCCCCACACCACCTCCTGGCCCTCCTGTTCACCATCTTCCCTCCCTCTGACTGCAGATCACAGTTCCCCTCAAACCCAAGTGCTCCTTGGGGCGCCCAGCCCAGTTCTCCCTATGCACAGAGGGTGCCCAGGTCTTTCTCCTGCTCAGATAGCTGCCCTGATGTTGGACTTGTGAGTTGGACACTCCATCTGCATCCAATTCTGGGCCAGGTTATTCTTCCTTTGCCCACCTGGAGGCATAACAGGGTCCACCAGCTCGACGCCACCTGTCCTGTTACTCTCCCCTCCCCTGTCCCCCAGGACCTCCAGCCCTAACTCCCCACCCCCATCCTCTCACGTGCTCTATACACGCTGCTCCTGCTTACAGCCTTTGGTACTGACTTATTTGAAGTCACCCACAGTGTAACTCCAGGCTTGTCACTAACTCTCTGTGCCTCAGTTTCTCTGTTTGTAAATGGGGATAACCAGGGTGCCCACCATGTAGCTGCTCCAATAACTTAATGAGCTACACTATGCACTAGAGCACTGAAAACTACGTCTGGCCCAGAGTAGGGGCTAAAAGCCTTTGTTCTAACTTAAAAGCTTCTCTCCCCGCTGGCCCTGGGCTCCTGAGGGCTGGGGCTGTACCTGTCTGGCCCAGTGCAGTAACCACAGAGCCCAGAACTGTGCCTGAGGCACAGTCGGCACTCAAGAGTTTGTTGCCTGGCAGAGCTCTTCAGTTCCATCTGCTGGGGTGGCAGTGGGGGGTTTCTAACCACAGGCAGAGGCCCTGGGCTGCTGGAACTGCACCATTCCCTCTCCCTAAGCTCCTGCTGTCAGGGTGCTTCTGGGTCTCCAGGGAACCAGGCTCAGCCATCTGCCAGGCTGGGGAGGGGTCTGAGGAGGCCACCTCGCCTCCCCTGGCACCCTGAACAGGGATGCAAACCACATGGTCTCACCTCCCTCACCACCTGCCTGAGCCAAGGGTGAAGGGACGACAGGCAAAGGAACTCCTGCCCCCGGCCTAACCTGCCCCTTCTGCCACCTCAATCCTTACTTCATCCCAGAGGACTTGAGGGGAGCTGGATGCCTGCAACAGGGTGGAGAACGGCTACCCAGACTGGAGAGAGCCCCCCTTTCCTGTCCCTGAACAGGCCTCACTTCCACCCTCCTGCTAACTGGGTCTAATTAAAGGGTGAGAAAAATGCAAATTCAGGGTTTGCCAAGAACACACCAGCACCTCAGCACATGGGATTCAGGCTGCTGGGCAGAGGTGGGGGCTCCGATGTCAGAGCCCCACAGGCCCTGCTTAGGGTGCTGGGGGATCTGCTCATCAAGGGCAGGGACCTCTCCCCGAAGCAAGCCCGGGAAACACCCTCTCCCAGGCTCTGAGCCTTCTCGTAAGACCTGGGTGGGCCTGGCACCTCCCGAAGCCTCAGAGCCTCCTCTGTACAGTGGGCATGGGCCTTGAGTTCCCTCTGACTGCCACCACCCTGGGGGCACCAGTGCCCACCTCCCCCAAGGCACAGGATACGGCCCCTCAGCGTAGTGCCAGCCCCTGGCACGGGGGAACTATCTCTGCTTCAGTCGGATGCAGCCCCCTCCTTAAGTATCCGGGGGTCTCTCCGGGCCCCTCAGGTGTTGGCAGTGGCTAAGGCGTCCCATCTCAACTGGCCTCACCCTGGGATGCGGATGGCTCAGCTGGGAGCTCCACCTTATGAGCCGTCAACACCACAGGGCAAACAGAACCAGTTGCCCAGGGGTACTGGGAGGAGCTGAGGTGGGGCCCAGGACATCAGCTTCCACTCTCACCCGGAAGTCGATGCCCACAGTGGAGATAAAGGTCCCCGCCAGGAAAGCGCCATCCTTGAAGCGCACAAGCAGGCAGGTCTTTCCCACGCCCGAGTCCCCCACCAGCATGACCTAGGGCAGGCAGGAAGATCAGAGGTGTCAGCCCTGGGCCAAAAGGGGTCGAGACACTGGCCCACCCGGAGGGGACATCTGGTCTGCCCAGAGCTGGTCTGGTCAGAGAGGGGCTTCAGGGGAGGGGCAGGAGTGGAGGCATCCCAGCCCACAGCAGCTACAGTCCCCCCTGGCCTGGACCCCCAGCTTCCGCCTCTGGAAGGCTTGGTCCCCTGTCTCCTTCCAAACAGTGGCCCATGTCAATCAGCAGGAGGTGACGGCAGCCTCCTTCATCCAAGAGGACCCTACTTATTCCCACTCCCCCCCCCGCCAGGCCATGTACACCGGCTTGATCTGGGAGGGGAGCATTTGGGGCCTAATGGAGAGCAGAGCAGACGGGGTTGGCAGCAGGGGACCTCCTAAGAGACTTGTGGGGGCCTCTGCGGCAGGGGGCTTTTTCAAGTCCCAGCAGGGATGCAAATACAGCAAGGCTCAGGAGGAATTTGCCAAACCAGGGTTAGATCTCGACCTGAAGAGGGGCCAGTTCTGTGGACAGGGAGAGGCACTCAGGCAGGTCCCCTCCACCCCCCAGCTTGCTGCCAAATGCTCCAAAACCCAGAGATGGTCTTGCCAACCCCTGCCAAATTCACACAGCTTCTGACTTGGTCTGGGGGAGGCCCCAACGCTCCCTACCCAACTAGCAAACCTCTTCCTAACCTCTTCCCCCTTCCAAAAAAAGAGGAGACCCACAGCCCCTGGGGGTGAGTAGAGGCAGCATATGGGAAAGGCTGAGACGAGCCCGCGTGGGGATGAAGGCGTTAGGGCGCGGGGAGGGACACCTGCCGGACTCTGACGTCCGCCAGACCCCTCGTGCTGCCCTGCCAGCTGGGGGAGGGGGAGAGGGCAGGCCCTGCCAACTGTGGGGTCCCCCAAACCCGGGCTGACAGCTGTGTGTGTGTGCGTGCGCCCTGCACCGTGCCAGCCGTTCCAGCTGCGGGGAGCCGCTCGGGCCAGCTCTGCGCCGAGAAGCTGCGGGGCCCCGGTCCCCCTTCCCGCACCCCTCCCTCCTTGGTTCGCACTGGGCGCCACCTGCTGCGCTCGCCTGGGGGGGGACCTGACTCACCTTGAAGGCGACGTCGTAAAAGTCGCCGCCGCCGCCCAGAGAGGGCCGGCCGGGCTGCGGGGGCCCGCTGGGCGGCGCCGCGGGGCCGGGG